AGGGGACGATTGGGAGGGGAGGAAGAAGTCGAGGAAGAGCTGGATAGAGCGGAGGATGTGGAACTGGACATGGTGCGGTAGAAGAGGAGGTCGAGGAGTCGGAGACCTAGGGGGTAGCCTTGTTCGTTCAATCTACAATATCAATCGTTAGTATATATGGTTTGGAAGTTGGGGGGGCGGAGGGTGTGCAAGCAAAAGCTTATATACGTACCGGCGTTCTAAATCCTGAATTCCCGTTACTCGTCTCTGAGTATAAGTCACCATCTCGGCGAACAGAAAGGCGAAGCTAGCCCGGCTGAGCTCCGCATTGCGGCTGCGGTTCAGGTGTCTATCGTAGATGGTTTTGCGGTTTGACGGGACGCGCAGACCCTGGCTTGATTGGGATTGCGTGTGGATGTGTTGTGCTGGTTGTTGTCTGTCTGCTGCTGCTGCCACGGGGAGGTTTGGACCGCTGTTGCTAATGGATAGCATTGCGGCGTGGCGGGCGGGTTGCGCCATGTTGACAGTATGTGTAGGTATTCAGAGTTGGTTATGGTGGATGACGACAAAGGAATTTGTTCACGCTGGGCTAGTCGGTCATTCTGGTGTGTTTCAGTAGGAAAGATCAGGCGATATGATCATGCTGGTTCATGAGTGTAGGGTGGAATTGAATGGCCGACGAGAAGCGGGCGAAGCTGTTGATAGATGTCCCTCCGGTAGGCGGCATGGGGGAAGAAGCTACGGGGAGGCAGGGGCGCAGTCATGCAGTTTCGGTGATGGCCTCAGGTGCTTGGAATTAGGCTTAATTGAGCCGCATGCCGCCAGAGAGATCTACTGGGGTGTGCTGCTAACTAGAGATTTAGAGGACTCTACTTCACGATCTGCAGGATATACAGGTGTGCTACGAATCTGCGAGCGAACAATCTTCAATCGAATAAATATCCATTGCGAATAAATCTAACTAATCCTTGAGCCAGCGTCGACGAAGTCTCAACTTGCCCTTCCTCTCTTTCAATCATCAAACCCTGTCAGGATATAAAGCTATCAAAGCCAATGAACCTATTCTAAGCAAGCAATATTAGCATACGCTCGCGGCAAAACCAATGGTGATTCAAAATCATAAAAGATTGACGACCAAGTCAGACATCCAAGGAAGTATTGCGCACAGAGCCGTCTATGATGGGTTCATGGCGACGACTAGCGTGGAAACTGCGAATGTAGGAAAAGTTTTCATCATAAGAAACCTTCGCCTTGACTCAAAGCGAAGGTTCTGGTCGTGTTGGGGCAGGTAGAATGCGTGCGAAGCAGAAAAAAAAAGTTGTAGAACTTACCAAGTTAGTCGCACTACACAATTAATGTGTGTATGAGAGAAAATGTCGCTAGTGAGTGCCATAGCACTCGATGGGAATCATCATGAAATTCCAATCGACCAAATTTTGTCGTCTGAGATTTTCTCAACACATGAGTTGAAGTGCGAGAAAAAGAAAGAAGAAATTTCGGTGCGGGAAGACCCTTTTTATAGTCGGCCTCAGGCTGCCCGGGAAACCCGCCGACCCATACGAAGATTCTAGAGAGGCCGAATTTTCATCACCAGCCTCCGCTACGAAAGAAATCGAACGTTCGATTTCTCGCCAAGTTTAGCGCATCATTTTGTTAGGAGGTAGTTCTCCTTTTCCCATGTTATGCTACATATGTTCATATTCATGTTTATGGCAGTATGCATAAAATCCCGTATTTGGTAATATTGTATATCGAACCGTAAACATGTCCATATGCTCTTTGCATAGCAAGCAAGTCCCTATTTATTGCGCTTTGCTTCATCCACCGGGTCGAGGCTCTTCTGCCTCTGTCTAGAGTTCCAATTCAGGGTCTTGGAAATAGTGTGCACCCAGTCGTCTCCACGTCGACCACGGGGTAGAACATTCGCGAATGGATATCGCGATGCGGAAACCGTCACATAATCGCCTGGGTGTAATTCAATCCTGTGTTCTGGTTAGCCATCCGTTCTACAATTACTTAACGACGTAACTCACCTCTCCCGGCCATCAAAGCTGGCCCATGAGCTCGCCCTGGCATCATAAGGTACTCCCATTCGGAGAACAATCGTATCTGGCAGGATTATAGGCCGGAAGGACAGTGTATGGGCGCAGATTGCAGTGACGAGAATAACAGGGTTGTCTGGATGAGATAGTGACCCTCCAGCTGCGAGGTTATACGCAGTTGAGCCGGTTGGTGTCGCTATGCAAACACCGTCAGCAAGCAGCGTTGTGAAATGCTCATCGTCGCCGAACAACTCAATGGAGGACATAGCTATACAGGCAGTTAGCAAGCACTCCATGCGACAGGGTGGCAGCGGGGACATACTAGGATTCGGCCCTCGATCAAGAACAACATCATTCAATATCTGAAGCACCTTGTCCGGTCTATGCGTTAACGTATCATCACCCTCTTCTCCAATCAACTCCTCGACCAAATCCCGTTTCCCACCGGGGCCCAACTCCCCCTTCGGCAATGGATTACTTCTCATAATCGTGCACTCAAACCGTAGTCGTAGATTGACGACCACGCCATCCTTAAACGCAGCCGACAGCGTCTTCTGATACTCATTGAAGTCAAACTTGGTCAAGAAGCCCAACGAACCAAGCGAGAACGACAACACCGGCGGCACCACATGCTGAAACAGCCAACTCGTAAACAGCACAGTACCATCTCCTCCGAGCGTGACCACGAAATCAAACAAATGAGCCCTCTCCGCCGCCAGCTCATGGTCCCAGTACTTCAGCCGACTCTTCGCCGACGGTTCCTCCCTCAGTATCTCTGCTGCACCGAACTCCGGATCCGTCTCCAACCGTTTCTCCACATACACATTATACTGCGTATCGCGATCCCTCGACAGAAGCCACCTGGCGACCTCCCTCGTCGATCCAATCACCGATTGATCGCCCGCCTTGGTGACCAGGAATACCGTCTTGACCGTGAGTTTCAACTTGATACTGTCCAGCTTCTTGGACAGCTTGCGCACGTTCCACGCCATGTCGGATAACTGCTTCTTCGTCAGGTGTCGTGATTGCATCATTTCTTTCTCTATCTCATTTTCGTCGTCCTCTTCCATTGCTGCTTCTTCTTCTTGTTTTGTTTTCTCGTCCTTGGTCCCCTTCAATACCCCCTCTAATACCTTCACTTTATTCGTCGGATCCCCCCATTCCCCTGCTATCAGCGAGTGCACGAAACACGCTGTCGTCTGGTCGGCATGCGAAAGATCAGGTCTCGTCATGGGATCGTCCGCCATGACGAGGGAGGATTTGCGACGATGGCTGCATTCGGGTTGAAGGACGACCTAGCAGGATATATCTTGTGTTAGTCACTCCGGTCATTGCGAGTTATCGAAATCATAAATACCTCGAGCTGATTATGTGTATCTGACGAGTAACCATCTGTTCTGCCGCGACTCTTTCAGATAAGTTAGCTTCGTTCTGCGGTGATTACTGGGTACGTTGGGACAACCTACGTGATCGCGGTGTGATGCCGGCTCCTCCTCTCCAGCCATGGTGCGTATGTGTGTGAATTTGGTTTCAATTTGGAATGTTCAAAAAAGCCGACTCACGCTGATCGTGATGACACTATTGCGTGGTCGTCATTGTACAGGTTGATGTGGGTTGATGAGAGGTCGCAAACGGTGAAAGAAAGGCGGCGGGTATGACGTCGTTGCCGGTCCGGCGGTCATGGTGCATGAATTGGTGTCAATGTGATGGAGTTGGTATAGATGCAGAGGTTGGGAGGGTTGAATTTGGTGGCGGGTGTATTCATGGGCTATCTACGTGAATTATGGGATTCAACAGGGGGGTTATTGTCATGGTTTGGTGGTGATTGTAGGTTTTGGTGTGGTTGTTGGGTGTGATCATGCGGCGATGTAGATATATATTTTTAGTAAGTGGTTGACGGGTTAGGGATACACTCAACATTATGTCCTCCTACATGACATTGTCGATGGCATTAGTCTTCAAAACCCATTACCAATGATACTCAACTGCTTGCTCTACGACCATGATGCAATACACAGGCAAATACTACATAATAATGTACACCGAATTGGCAATCCAAAAGTTACTATACAACCAACAGTGACACAAACACCGCACACCCTAACTAACGTACTACTTAACCACAACAAAAAACAAAGGTTCAACCCCAGCAGTTCAACCTCACCCCCAAACCCCGATAATAAGCGATCCCCATCAACCACCGAAACACGCGTTACACAGATCGTCCCTAATGCATGCATGCATCCATTCATCACCACGCACACACAACCATGACTACTCCCTACCACAAGCACTCATTGTTCCACACGTAACCAACCAAGTGAGGCAAGCTACTATGTAGGGTCGATCCGATCATCTCGGAGAGTTAGTTGCCTTCAATATTTCATTTCCTTCTAGAAGGTCTACGAAATCAATAGTTTCGTTTCGTTTCGTTTCGGTCGGTGATATAAATAGAAATCTGGACCGCGCAAAGAACGGAAAGTAATAAGTATGTGAAAGATACTCCGTAAATAATTCAATAACGGAGGTTCATACCGTAGATAGGCATCAATCAATCAATCAAGCAATCAAGTCGGGGAGTTTCGTATATAGATAGTAAGTATAGATAGACTAGTTCCAGATGCGAAAGTCTAAAGTGGCTTTTTTATGCTTTGCTTTTACTGTATGTACTGTACTACTGTGTAAGCTTGATGAGCGCAGAATGACCAGTATACTTACTTATTATTTAGACAACATTTGGATCATCAGGTATGGTATAGGGTTTGTGGAGACTGTTTACGATGGGTGACACGTCCGAAGTATATAGTCAGTTGCTATAATAGTAAACGAGGGGGAATTGTAAGTCTAGTTTCACTGCAAGTGGATGATGATGATACAGGATTATGGCTGTGTGAACTGTGAACTGTGAACTGTGAAAGACAGTCGAGATGTCATGAGGCGGCAAAGTGGGAATGAGGATGCGTGGCACATGAGACAAGCGGACAACAGACTTTCTTAGCCCGTCTTGGGAAAGTGGTTATTTATTTATCTATTTAATTTTTTTTTCTTTGGGGCACAATTATGATAATACTAATACAAGACAGTGGAACACAGTAGATAGTAACTAACTGAATCCAGTAGTCATCGGGGTTAGGTTCAATAACTCGCAACCCACGCGCCCCCGAAGGCCAGTTCGATCTAGGCGCGTTAGCAGCGGGCCATAGCCATGGTCAGTACCAGATAGTCACTCAAGTCAAGAGTCAGGTCAGGTCAAGTCAGGTCGAGGCTAAATTAGGGAGCAATAAAGTGAGGTGATCAGCCCTTTGGGAACAACCGGCACACATAACAACAACGTGCCATGTTTGCCAGCCACCGAATAATCCGGGCTCCACTGCCCTATATGTAGTAATAATAACAACCACCACAACAACCACCCGACAATCCCGCGGCTCCCGTTTCTGCCCCTCTTCATCTATTTACGGTTTTGCGAGGATTTTAATGAATGGATGAGGATGGACATTACAGCGTCACGACGATGACTTGCCGTGTTCCCAAAACTTGTTTTGCACATCTCTCCTCCCGAACTTTATACACGGTCGCTGGACACGTAGATTACGACAAGGGGACTTTTTTGTCTTTCTTGTCTTCTTTCCATCTTTAGCATCGGCTGTCGATGAGAAGTTCCAGCCTTGAGCCACAAACCACAAAGGGTACCCCGGATGATGCAAGAGACAATCAGAGAAAAACTTCCACTACCGAGAGAAAGTATCGACTATTGGGGCGGGACGAATAGTCAGCCATGTGGCTTTCCGAACTCCAGTCATGGCCGGAACTCAACTTGTCGTCCATACATCATCAATCATTGCAGGTCCCGGTCCCCATCAAGTGGAAAGGGAACCATACTTTCTCGGTCTCTTGTGTAGATAGTACTCCGTGGTCCGCTAACCATTTCCCTACTCGGCCGAGCATGGAAATCCGCCTACGTAAAAGGTTAATCAAGACACCGGAGAATAACTAATATCCAAGGCCGCTTAGCCCGAGAATTCTGTCTGGGAGAAACTTGACAATTTACGGGCGGCCCCAACGCACGACTCCATTAGGAATGGAGGGATTATCGCCAACAGTTTACCTTTTCGAGTGGAGGGTCAATCTGCATACCGCCACTACACTCATCCAGCTGGCTTTGACTTCCTCCGTAAGGCCATGATGAGACCAAGCCCCCGAGAAGGAAAAGGATCACTTTTTTACAGATCCATAGGTCAGGTAGCGTCTGATTGACAGGATCCTGGACGCGTTATTTGCTCGCAAGAGTTGAACTAGATTGACCCACCAACGGTCAGACATCCCTCGACAATACTTCATTGGTGGTAGTGGTGCTGGTGGATTGTGGCAATACCCGCTGTTTGCCGATTAGCATCATGCAAAGGAGGCACTAGGGTGCGAGGGAGGTGAAGGGGAAATCCGAATGAGGAGTGTGATGAGCAGATAGACAAGCACAACTGCACAAGTACTTGTAAGAAATTAAATTGAATTGGGAAAGAGAGAGAAAAAAAAAAGAAAGGAAAATTTGGAGACCAGCTAAGACTAATTTCCTTCGTTCGGGGCAAATTTGGCTGCGGCAAATCGGGTACGTACCCCACTTTATGATGGATCTGCCGTGAGTCCGTGACAAGTGCAGCAGCAAACCAGCAACAAGTCGGGAATCTCAGCCACCGTCGATGATGATTAATCCCTAATATTGGGAAAATCCTGGGAACTTAACGAACGGAGAAAGGTCGTTCGTACTCGCGCGCTGACTGGTTTGCCAGTTCTAGTAAATCCCCCATCAGTGGACCGCTGACTATCATTGACCGCAACTAGGTCACGGTGCAGTCGGGCTTGGTGCGATTTACCGCCGATCTTCTAATAGTGAGTCTGTCAACCGGGTTATCTTTTGCTGGTCGGCCCCTCTTCTCTTACTCTTAAGTTGGTATGGAGTATCGGGTGCAGTTTTAGCAGTAGTTCTTTGCTTCGCTTCGCTTTGAAATGGGGAATTGGTCAGTGTTATTAGGAAATAGCATTATCCTGTTTGGTGGGTTTCTCCCCAGCACACCGCGAGAGGATGGTGGAGGTGGAGGAGAGAGAAGTGCATCGCTGCCTGGATCTGATTGCCAGGGGTAGTGAAACGACCCAAGGCGCCTTCGTATCCCTAGACCACATCTGGTATCGGGTCTTTTGCATCTGCGGAGACCCTTTCGAGGGGCGACAATGATGGAAGGTGATGCTGGTCCGGCGCACAGTACTATTATGTACAAGCCCCTCTTGTAGCGTCATAGGCTGAAGCAGCCGCCGGAAAGCCTCGCTACTAGATAATTTGCACCTAAGGCAGGCGATGTATGTGATGAGCGCAGCGCTATCAGTTTCTCAGGTTCATTGGTGCAAGGATGGTCATGTGGTTCCATTGCCTTTCGTTCTGCGAGATGCAAGTCCGCCTCTTTTGCAGAATCCATCCCAATTCCCTGCCTGCATTCAAAATGCATGCCTGACACCGTCACATTTGGCCTTGTAATGGTGGCCTGACGGCTATACTTGATTCGGGCGGTATGGTATGGTAAGCATCGGGCTCTCCCACCCCCTCTTCCTCGTCATTTGCCCACTTTCATACACTAAAACTATGTACTACTGCTGCTACTGCTGCTGCTGCTGCTGCTCCTCCTCCTCCTCCTCCTATGCTCGGGGTAGAATGTAACTGTCAGGCTGACGACGAACTTCAACCAATGCCGGTGGCATGAGGCATTGTATCCAAACCTGTTGTTAGTGTGTAGTAATCATAGCGTTCCAGACCCCAGTCCACTTTATACTACATCCAGGTTTCATGCCTCTTCCTTACTGGTTGGTTGACACGTAGGACAAACCTAAAGCACAGGCCACATTCTGTGTGATACCTCCCCCCTCCCTTCAGATCTGAACAATGCAAGAATCCAGAATGCTGCAGTATCTGCCGAAATATGTGGTGGCAGCTGAAGATACCTACGTACTCTGTACAGTAGGTGCCTACCTCGCATCGGCATTGCCAGCACGTCTGCCTACAGCAGATCATGCATGCTCCTCCGTGTATTATGATGAGATCTGGTTTGTTGTGTAACTCGCCGCTGCCCAGCCATACTCCACCATTTCACTCCTACTATTGTCGTCTGCTGCATTTGGAGACGAAAGATTGAGCCCGAATATGTCTCGTCATTGGCCGGATGGACAGCGCCCTATTTTGGTTCCCATGCATGCATGCATGGACCTACTGGCGGTATATGTATGTACGCCATTTTGACTCATGGCCACCTGCAGATGCCTCCCGTAGCAGCCTTGATAAGTTGTAGATAGATTAGTGAGGACAAGAGGAGACTCGCGGCTGACGGTCCGCGGAATGGTAATTGCAGGATTAAAACCAGCCTAGAAAACGGCTCGACTCGATAAACCTCTCAAACATCAAGGCTCATACATCCTACGTACTCCGCCTCGACTGCTTAGGTCTCGGACTGCTCCGTATTATGTCGCAACTTGCGTGTCGTTTCCGGTCGTCAAATGGCAGATGCAGCTTACATATGACCCACTTGGGTAATGGTTTTGGGCCTTCTCGTCCAGGCTCCTCCCTACCTACGTAACTTTTGTAGGAGGGTTCCGACTCTGCCGCGCGATCTGCTTGCGAGCTCAGACATAATAGTGGCGTCGGTGAGGGCACGCGGTCAATCACCGTCTGCTAGTAACTTAATCGTTGACGATGATTGATGCCCGCGGAGGAGAAAAAGCTTTGCGAGACCCGTATCAACAACTATGCCAGGGTGGGTTATGTGGTCAGCCATGAACAATCAGGACAAATCACACGGGCCAGGTGATGGCGGTATCAGTGGAATGCCGTGTCACATCCACGCTGCGCCGATGGCTTGATTTCACAGTCGGTTGCAGCCTGGTGCTCCAGCTCCAGCTCCAGTTGTAAAGCGGGCGAAGTAAGGTGCTAGTTACTGTTGGGGTGAGATCGCATCAGGAAGCATGGCTAGATGACGATTGTATGAAGGAGGCTTGAAGCCCCTGATAGCACAGCAGCGCATGTAAGCACTTTCGTCGGCAGCCAATGATAGCCGGGCACTGCTGCTATGCTACTAGAAGATGCTAGTAACCAAGCTGGAACAGAGTGAGAGAGAGGGCCGGCTTTTCCTTTCTTACGGCGGCATAACACAAATTTAGTTATCTAGGGGCAGGTGAATCAATGACATGCCACTAAAGTAAGCCAAATATAAATTAGCGTCCAATGTTTTTCATTGAGAAAGGCCAGTTTTGACGCTCGGGCCTAACCATGGTCTGATGACACGTTAATCCTCAGGCCGTACTCCATAGTTAGTTAGAATAATTAGTAGTGAGGGAAGGCGGCGAGAGCAATAAAAAAAACAGCCGAGAGAGTGAGACGAATCCTGACATGCTAGCGAGGAGTGGCTTCGGAAAAAGAAAGCTAAGATTTGAAGGCGCGTTGCGAGTTGATCACTGGCTTGGAACTAATCAAGTAGTTGGATGATCGCTACTCCGTTCTGAGTTGACTTTCTCCGAAGCCAACTACGGAGTGCGAACTAACGAGACTAACAAATTGCTGCTTACTTTGGGCCTGTCTCGGACGGCGACCGCCATTTCGCTTACTTGGTTGCTGGATCGAGCGGCATACATTCAGCTAGGCGTCTGAATTCTGATGGGGAAGCTAGGGTGCTATGCAGGCGCGACCATGGCCCCTGACGGATGGGCCCCATTGTCCATCATTAATTTTGTGTATTATTATTATAATTATTATTATTACTATCTAGTCCAAGTGTTCGTCCCATACTAATCACGTTTTAGCCCAAACCATCACTTTCTCCGCAGTCATCCGTCGTTTTCACTATATTGTAGACGTTGCTTTTTGCTTTCTCTTGGCCCATCACTTACACTGCAGTAAAGGCAAGGGGCCAAGAAACACCACAATTAACGAAGTTCAGCTAGTCTACTCCATAGTAGATGAATATCCATAAAGCAGCCAACTTAAACCTTGCAAGTGGCTTAGGTCGGTTAGACCAGCGCGTTGGGGGGACTTGTATCCTGCTAAAAGGTCTTACACTTAATCCTGATATCACGAGCCGAAGCCCTTGGCTCATATAGTAGTATCTATCCTAACGCCCTTTCGTAATTGATCCGTGGCGTAATAATGATAGCGTGTGAACTGAGAGACCTTATATTGAGTTCTAACTTTCTGATATCCCAGGGATGCGCGGGTCCCGCCGGGAGGGCGCATCGCTTCGTGATCTTTTAGCCTTTCGCTCAATTATTAGCTAATGACATGTTAGCCGAACCTTGCTACCTGTTAGATACCATGTCGGTGGCAGCAGCGGGCACGAGCTGTCGAGTCTATCCGATTGTTGACAATCACCCCCTGAGGTAGTCTGCCTGAGTGGAATGGTGGCTGATGTTCATCCCTGCACCCTTGTATACTAGGAGTAGGAGGTGGACAAGTCCGAAAGTCAAGGCGTCGAGCATATCACGCACGCAGAATGTACAGTAAGTTAGGCGCTCGGTGTTGTGTAGTCCTTACGGCGTACCCCCGTGAGGGATCATCACCACCCCTGGCGAGGTAATCCAGCATACTCCAAACGAGTGATCCATTCCCAACCAGTATAGTATAGAATAGTAAGGTATAGTATAGTAGTACGTACTGTTGAAGGCTTAAAGCGTCGTTGGTTGTAACCTATCAGATCAGTAACGACGGGGTTTTATTGGCTGTTGAAAAGCGCCGTTTGCGAGCCTCGGCTGACTGGACGGCGTGTAGAGCACCACTTAGAGCAGACGACCGGCAGGTAACGAATAGATCCTGGACCTCGCAAGCTACTGAGTAGTAGACTAGAGCTAGGCTGAGTGGTTACCGTAGTACCATACAAAGCTAACTGGTAGCTTACCTGACCTTCCTGCTTCTTGGTAGGATCCCTGTTCAGCCAGTTTGACTCCGTATTCCCGTAGAAACGGAGATATGGGAGTTTGACCCACTTGGTCTGAGAACATCTTTTTTTTTTTCTTTTACTTTTTTCCTCCTTTTTTCCCTCTCCTTTCCCTTCTTTTTCGATATATTAATTGATTGAAAATTTTCTCTCTCTCTTTTTTTTTTTTTTTTTTTTTTTTTCCTGTTTCCTGCCCCCTCCCTTTCCATTTTTGTCTCCCGTTTCCATCCATTGCATAACCCAATCGAGGGCTGATTTGGCCCCCAAGCCTTCTGGAATTCTGCTCGACTGGCCCTTCCATCTCACGGTTTCCAGTTTCCCAGTCCCCTGCCGTCAGGTGGGCCTGCACATGCATTCCGATGCTTCCCCTCCTGTAATCTCCGGCTTCTGATTTGTAGGGCGTCCAGACGATGATCTCAACCATCTGATTAGTCGCTTTTTCGATGATGTATCTTGATTAGTGGTGATTGTACCCGCTTAAGGCGTCGCACGGAGGTTTTCTCGAGTTCGTTACCCTTTCGATCTGGCCTGCCACGCATCTGGCGCGGTTCTAGTACAATGGAAGGCTATCCGCCTCCCCGAACAGCCGGGTTTTGAAGCGGGACAAGCATTCGTTTTTTGTCCGTTTAATTCCTATTTGATTTTGTTTCTTATTGTTGCGGATGCTTTTGCCAGTTCTCCTCGAATAAGTGCCTCGTTAGCAAACTTCATTTACGTACCGGCGTCAGTCAAGATGGACTAGAACGGGCGTGACTGACGCAGTGCCACAAATCCCGATCGCCAGGCTGTCGTATATGTAAAGTGAGCCCCGGTGGCCGGAGCACGGTGGCCATATTATTGCTCTCACGGGGAGAACGTTAGTTTAGTTGGATACATCCATACAGGAGGTACTTACCTCATCCAGATAGGGTCCCTTCTTGGCCTCTTTTCTTACTTTTTTTTTTTTGATTGTTGTTCTCTGCTCTCGCGCCCCCTTCTTTGGCCCTATGCAGGTTTAGGCACATTCACTTTTTTTTTATTTCCTTAGGACCAAATTCAAGGCGGCCGAGCAGACCAGAAGGAGGAGGGGCGCATGTAACTCTGACCCAAAGGCGCACTAAAAGTGACTCGGGCTCAGCCTTCAGGTACTTAGGCTTCTCGAGGGGCGCCACGGGGACTAACCGGAGTGGGTAGGGCTCTGCTTTTAGTCGGTCTTGCTCCGGTAGTAACCCTGGTTCTGGAAATGGTCCCCATGTCAATGGAATAATCCTCCGCCCCGGCATCCTTTGTCGATTACATATGATGGGGGGCATTAGCGCTCTAGGCGGAACCCATCTGCTGTACCTCTCTTTCTGGTGCAGCTGGACTCGTCAAAAATGCATTTATTGGCACCAGCCCACTTCCATCCCGGATAAGCTAGACAGCCAGCCTGACCTGTGGAGTCTCTTGATACCGAGCGGTGTTTCCCTCTCTCTTGTCTCTCTCACTGCCTCTTGCGACTTGCGTGTTGTAACTTGTAAGTAGCAAAAGTAGGAGTGCACACCCCACTCTTTCTCCTGCCTTGAGCAAATTCTGTTTCTGAGTGCTCCGTACTCCGTACTCTCCGTATAACGCCCCCCCTCTCCGATCCCTGAACCCAGTCCAAGTGTTGTCATTTCTAGCCGAACTTTCCGTTTTCCCTAATCCCCTCCTCCCCCCTACACCGAGAGGTGGTCCGTACGGCAAGTAGGCTTTCACCGTTCAGCCACTCAGCCAGCTGATCTATCCGGCTCGTCACACGTATTATGGCTATGAAACATGTGATCCACAACGAAATAGATTGACCGGCAACAGGAAATTGATAAGCAAGAATAACGATCGGAATTCGGAACATAGGTACAGTTACTTGATCATTGTACTATGGTTGGAGAAGTGGTGATAGTATAACCTGTGCTGGTGCCAAGGTAACGAGGCAATCTTGGCCTCTTGTGCACGCATGAAGTATGGAGTAGCATACCTGTCTGGCCAATGAGTTGCCCAGAGCAATCAATGATCATCAGCTCAGCGCTTCACGAGACAAGTGGTTCACCGAGTCAGGCCTGGTGGGTAGTCCAAATTAGTTCTGGGCTAGTAATCTATCAGTGGTTGCAAGTATGTGTGATAACGGTGATGCCTCCCACCCTGGCGCGGTTGGACAGCAATAGAAGCACAAGCACCCAAGGAATCAGTCTTTAGAAAGGATGGTCGGCGGGATGATGGGATGTGCGCCCGGGGATGCCGAAGGACGAGGATGACGATGACAAGGAATGAGACGGAAGGCAGCTTGTTCGACCATCCGCATGCTCCTTCCTGCCCTTGTCTCGATCTATCGCCAGGCTGGAAGAGGATGCGATACGACGACTACCAAATTAGAGTGTTGCTTGCTCGCTATGTGGATGGGTGGGATGGATAGATGGTGTAAGTTATGTGCCTAGCTTGCTTGAGGTTGCCGGGTAGAGAACTGGGCCAGACCTGCATCCGATGTCGATACGTACTCCGGACAGGGGAAGCAACTCTGGCCCTTGGAAACTTTCCGCATTATTGTAACCCTTGCGTAACGGGCGTTGTGACGCGTTGAAAACGGTGAACTTGTGGGGACAAGACTGGGCTTGAAGGGGTTACTTAACGAGGGAGGAGACGAAGGAGGGAGTGGGTGGGGAGGGAAAGAGGAGAAGACGAGAGAGGGGGGGGAAGGGGGGCAAATGTGTGCCTAGTTACGGAGTAGTAGGAGACTATGTAATACGGATAAGGAAGAATCATCCTCTACTAGTTAGAAACAGAAACAGAAACAGTAAAGGTGGAATGGAACGGAAAGAGAGTTGGGAGAGTGTTTGGCCGCAGGGTTGACGATCGGGTCGGATCGTGGGTCATTTGCCAGGCCAATATTACCGCTTCACCGCGGGCATTCCCATAATGACTAAGACGGCCGAGGAGAGTTGCGAAGGTGTATCACGATTTGGGTCCGGCCATCCATCCATCCAACCATCCATCCTTCACCCATGCATGTATGTATGTATGTATGGAGGGGGCAGCAACAGCCTGGGCTAGAAGTGACTCAAGGAGAGTGGTTGCACACATACGCTCTCTTCATTGCCTAAGTACTTTACTTAGTACTAGTAGTACTACATAACTTACCTACCTATCAGAGAGATACATAGTTACCCCTGGTACAGCGTGACTAATAAATCGCAAAATTCTCCCAGGCACCGTACAAAGGGCCATGGCACGGCTGCGTCATCGAGAAGGTGAGAGAGGGGGGGGATTAAGCTAAACACACCGGCAGTAGTTTAGTGCTACCTTTTCTTGCTTTTGATGGGGCGGCGCTCTGTGAAGTATCATACAATCATACAGTGGGTTGGTACTACATGTAATAGTTAGTTAGTCTCAGCAGACCGACTTGACTAGTTACTAAGTAAGCGCAAAGTCGCACGTCGGTCATGAATGTAACTGATCACCGTACCTGTCTGTCGCATGTTAACTAAGTAGAAAGACACCGAGCACTAACTAATTACTACTATAACCACCTCACTGCATTGTTACCGAAATAGCACGTACTCCGTAGTATCTATCCGACAGGGAGGACAGGGAAATCAATCAGAATGCAGGCAACGGGCGGCACCATGGCTGGTATGGTATGGTAAGAAGAAGCAGAAAAGGATGCAGGAAGACGCAGTAACTCCCAAAAGTTCCCAGTTTAGCCCCAGACTTCCCATGGGGCTCTCACACGGGCCTTACTACTGTGCGTCGTATCTAGTGGAAAGTTTAGTTTAGTTTACTTTTAGTTTAGTTTCGGCATGTCCCAGGCAAGTCAAAAGTCAAGTCAGTCAAGTCAATCACTCGGTCACTCACTACTCATTTCGGCTTGCAAGAGAGGGAGCTGAGGGGGGCATGATGAGGGCCCGGCCATTTTCTGGTTCCTTCTTTAAGTTCCATCCATGATCTTTGCTGCCTTTCCCTGGACTGGAGCTCCGATTTCAGTTTCCCATCCAATCATTTGCCGCTCTGCCGCATCTCCCTCGTTTTTCTCTTGACCCTCTGTTCCATATTTCTCCCCCCCTCCCGGTGGACACTGCAAGTCCATCAAATTCTTTTGCCAATGGGTCTGATCATCCCCACCATCGACATTATTATCCATTCCCCCATCGTCACCCGCCGTTAGCCACTAAACCAGCCCCAATTCCATGGGCCCAGGGCAGTCCAGAAGTCATTTTTGCCAGCACAGAGTCAGAGCCAGGATTGATTGCCCGCTTCGCAGGTCCCAGAGAGTCCTTTCGGAGTGGAGACAGCATTCGTGTGGCATGGGCTCATCTGAATCATCTTCATCATCATCAACCATTCCTTCCTTGGGTCCCCTTCCTTCCTTGCCCATTTCCTCCCCTTCCTGGTACCTAGACTAGACTCAGTCTTAGTAGTCTGAGCCCCCCCTTCAACTCCTCTCGTCCCATGTCTTGCCCTGTTCGGTTCCCACCAACTAGTCTGCTTTCGTTAGTGTCAACGTCGTGTCATCCCAACATGTGCCCGCTCCCACTAACCCATTAGTCTTCTTACTTACAGTAATGGATCGTGGAACTGGGGCGGATGGTAGATCAAGAAATGCCCATGTACATGCGTCCCACATCTCCGTGTATCACCCTCATGTAGGGCCTTCCTTTTTCTTATTTTATTTTTTTCCCCATCTACTATTAATTTATTAATATTATTTTTTTTGTTCCATCTCCCCTTTTTTGCCTTTTTCTTTTTTACTTTTTTAGATTCGCTCCTACTTTACTCTTTACCGCATAATCTACTACTTATCCGAACCATCTGGGTCAATTACTCGACTAGGCCTTGGGCTTGCTACTTAGTACCGCACGCACTTAACTGTACCTTGCCTCCACGCCTTGTGACCCTCACGCCCCCTGTGTCATCTTTAGATGATAAGTCTCGAACCCCAGTCTTCGGAGATCCTTTACATATTCCTGCAGTCATCATCCACGGATCCTATCCGTGCTTGATACTCCATATAATCTAACCACCGCCCTATCCCACCATCCCGTCTTATCCTTCTAGCCTCTCACCTACTACTAC